TGGTTACACCGCCGCCACTCGCAAACGGAGCAGTTGCGATTTCCGGCGGTTGCGGGCGATTGAAAAACTGACTGGTTGAACCGCAACCAACCGCAACCGCAACCAAACTTGTGTTTTCTAATCGCATCTTCCAACTTGCGTTTTGGTAGCGGTTTCCGGCGTTTTGACAAAAAAACTAAAATATTTTTATTAGAAATTATATAAAACATTAATATATATATTGGTGATGATTTTGTTTAGTGTTATGATTTGATATTATTTTTTAGTATTATATAATAGTATAATTTTTAAGTTTAATAATGATTATTTTTAATAATTTTTATAATAAAATTATTTTTTTACTTAAAAATAAATTAAATTGATAATATTTATATTTTAAATTTATTATTTAATTATTATAAATTTAGTAAATAATTTTTATCAAATGATACGAAAAATTTAATTAAAACTATTATAAAAAATTATTTTTAAATAATATATTTTTTTTAACAATTTATATCAAAACGCAACCGCAACCGTAATGAACCATTCACTTCTAACTACACCCACCCGCAATCGCTACCAACAGCAACTTCTCAACCAGTCAGTACTAATCATTTATAATCGCTATCAAACGTTCTGAAAACGCTGCCACCTGCAATCGCAACCGCTGCGGTACAACCAGTCGAACCCATTATTATCCATTTAAGTTCCTTATGCTCCATGTTTTCGGAATTTTATGTCGAAGTTGTAAAAAATGTATGAACTGTGCGGTTTCGCACGTGCGGAACGTCTCCACGTGGCTGCTAATGAGAGTCGGGCACGAAGAGAGCCGAAAGCGGCTCTATGGGCCATGGGCTTCGGTCATAATTGTAATTGGGCTTATGCTCTCAATTTCTCAGCCCCACTCGCCCAATGATTTCCATATAACTGTAAATCGTTGACTTAATATATATATATATATATATATATATATATATATAGAAAATATGATTAAATAATTCTGATTACTAAATTAACCGATATAAAAAATCAATACATATAATATTTATAACGTTGCTAATATCTTAAGACCACACTTCGAGAAAAAATAATTAAGATTTTAGTTGTCAGTCGAATTAGATTAATGCTTAAGAATTATTTAGCAATTGTTCTTTTGTAATCTCTTATCTTGTTTCTTTCTGGGTTTTGTCTTTGTGAAACTAATACGACAATAAATTTTGTTTTAAATAGACTAATCAATTAATCTAATGACGACCAGGCTCAAATTTCATGGCTTATTTAAAAAATCCACGTAAATCCGGATTGGTCCCCAACCTTCGGATATGTGGTCCGAGGGGAGATCAATGATTTTTTTTCCGGCGCTAAAATCACTGAATTATTAATAATTAGAGTCCTGATAATATAAAATCCAATTAATTTTCTGGTATCTTTCTGAACTGAATGAATTTAAAGTAATGTAGCAAAATCAATTCCTAAAAATCAAATCATATTAGTATTTTTTTTTTTGGCTAAATATGACACAATGTAAATGTATACGACGATAATGCACGCCGTTCAAATTTTTAAAAGGTTATATGTTGTTCAATATACAGATTAGTTTTAATATTAAGAAGATAATAAATGCAAAAAAAAAACCATTAATTGGTGATCCAATGTTTTTGAGATATGATAAAATCAATTAGATATAGTTGATTCGATTCCATTAGTGGAAAGAAGTGGCGTAATTAATTGTATTACTAAATTCTTGCTCTGGATCTCCTGATTAAATGGACCGAAAACCAATATGGTTATTAGAAAACACAAATGCATTTAAATAATATATATTACCAATATATACATACATGTATATATATATATATATATATATATAT